TCTAGTGTTCTTAACTTGTGACTCTAAATGTTGGTATATCACTGTAATAAACCAAAAATATTCCCTACAAGTTTCCAAAATATCTCATGTGCAGTACCATATGCCTTGAGAACTACTGCTTTGAAGAAAAGGAAATATGCTACAATGGACTAAACTCTTATGACCAGTGTCAGTAGAACAATCAAAAGTCAGCTATTCCCAAAAAAAGCACAGTAGCTCAATATATCCTTTCGTACATATGATATCATACACAGCTCGTGAATAGTCCTCCCTAAAACTTCTCTCAAGGTGGAGCCAGTTAGATCGCTAGCTCTAATTACCGTAGGCTTCATTTGCATGTAATTTTTTGTTTTATTAAAACCATTACCATAAAATGAGGAAACCAATGCCACGGTAACTGGGAGAAGTTTTCTTCAGCATAACCTTAATATAGATCTTTACTTGATCAGAGAAAATGCTTTATTTTTGATGTGTGGTTATAAGAAGGCAAACCTTTTAATTCTGCTTAGTTTGTTTTTTCATCTTTCTTCTCTCAACCAAGGTCAGACTTTTTTCAAGTTCTGGCTAGCCTATTTAATTTTTCCTGGATTTACCAATTTAAAGTATCTTTCACTATATGTAGTATTATAATGTCTTTTCTTGGATTGGTCACTGTCACCTTCAGTCAGTTCTTTGTACTTCTTGGTGTACCATGAAAGAAAAAAATATATAATTGATAATTCTGGAGAGACAAGGCAAAATTGCATTAGCTAGGGTAGGTTACATTGGTTGCTCTGAAAAACCTTATAGTTTCATTAACTCAGCACAAGAAAGGAATATTTGTCTTTATACAAAATCCACTGTAGATGTTCCTGATCAGGAATATTTCTAGGCATCCTTTCTATAGGCAGTAACAATGGCTGTTTCATTTATATGGTATTCTCATCTTGGAGTTATTGGCTTTCATACATGCAAATGGGATGAGAACATAGGTTTTGGGGGATATTTTGAGCGCCTTGAAGTCGTGTATGATCTATCTGTCTACATTTCTTTGACCAGAACACAAGTTAGCTCTATATTCAGAAAGGACGCCAGGTATGGTGATAATTCCAGCTTTAATTCTAGCACTCAGGAGGCTGAGACAGAAGGATTGCTGTGAGTTCAGGACTACCTGAACTCCATAGCAAGACCCTGTCTCAAAAAAGAAAGAAGACATTTACTGGTACTATTAGCACTGTCTACCAGACCTAATCATTTATTTTAACAACATAAACCACAAAAGTACCTATTGATTACCTGCTGGGTACTAGGTACTGTTGATACCTGTGGTTGAGGAACTTAGAATCTATTAGTGTCATTTAACCATTTAAACAAATAGTTTAAAAATAATACAATAAATAGTATCATAGAAGTTTCTATGTTTTATGAGAGCATGGATGAAATTACAACTAATTCAAATAACAATATTGAAAGGCAGTAAATGATATGAAGAAAGTGCTCTTGAAAAATGTTTCTCACCGGGGATTTAGCTCAGTGGTTCGGTGGCCTGCCTTGCAAGCACAAGGACCCAAGTTCAATCCCTGGTACCAAAAAAAAAAAAAAAGTTTCTGAGTGCATTGGGCAGTGAGACAAACTTCAAGACCCAGTCCATCATTTCATAACCTTAATATCTGGTATTACTTCTTAGAGTTTTATTTTTCATGACTGTAGACTATATATAATAATATTTTCCTTGCTAATCTCACATAGTTTCTGTGGTTATATAAACTAGAGAGGTAGTGTTAGATAGTGGAAAGGACCTAGATTTTGGTTGGAAAAGACCTAAATGCGTAACTGTAAGCATTGTATCTTATTATCTTTGTTTAGATAGGAAACCTGACTTCTGTGATTTTTTCCATATCTATAATAGTTGTACTACTATTAGAGTAGATGCCATGTGCAAATGCAGTAAAAGTTCTTCAGAAATTATAAATTGCTGCATATATGTAACATAATACTTGCCTATGATACTGATTGTTGAAATTAGTACTAAAATCTGCTGTCTTAGTTATATTTCTCATTGCTGAGCCCGACACCTAAAGTTAAGGATAGAAAGCTTTTTTTAAATTCATTTTATTGGTACAGTTAAGGTATACAATGTAGTGACATTCATCATTGGAAATTTGCACCTTTCCATAATCCATGTTGGTTCTTATTTTTTCCCCATTCCCCTTCCCTCCCTTTGACCCCTCCCTCCCTATTTACAAAGACTTTGTTTCCATGTCTTCTTTTTCTCATGTTAATTCCATTCCCATCTTTCTTTTCCCTGTCCCTCCCATTTCCCCTTCTGCTTTGCACCTTTCCTTCCTATTTCAAATTATCTGTTATACCTTTTAGCCCTTATGTACACTTTCAGCTTCTCACACTAGAGAAACTATTCAATATTTACACACGTGTCCTATTTATTTCGGTTAAGATTATCTCCTCAATGTGCATCCATTTAGCTATAAATGTCTCTAGGTTCTCATTCTTTATGGCTGAATAGTAATCCACTTTTATAAAAACACACACACATATTTTCTTTATCCAGTCTCCTGTTGATGGGCAATTAAGAAAGGTTTATTGTAGCTCACAGTTTGTAGAGGTTTCAGTTCATAGTTGGCTGGCTCCAAGGCAGGGTAGCACAGAAGAGGGGCATCACAGAGGAGAAACAGTTCATGGTAGAGAGTAGGCAGCAAAGTAGTGAAGAAGCAGCAAGTGATGACAGCCATCCTCTTTCTGTCCCTTCCCGTTCTCCACACCTAGAATTATGCCATGTCAATTAGTTGATTAATTTAATAATCACACACCCTTAATCCCAACATCACATACTCTAGATCCAGCTGCCTCTGAAAAGCCCCACCTCTGACCACATAAGTCTTTGAGGGGACATCTAGACAGAAACCATAACATCTACCATGTAAATTAATCTTGTTACATGAATTTATGTCCCAGTGATGTTGAATATGTACTTTGTAGTATTTTTCAATTTGTTTTAATTATAATGAGGTTCTGTTATAACATGTAAAGTTAGGATTTCATAATTGCAAGTTTAATTTTAAGCGTTTCTTATATTAGCATTTACTTTCAGGAACCAACCAGAGAACACTAAAATGAACATTCTCATTTCAAGGAAGAAATTTCTATCAATTTAGTTTTCATAAAGAGAATCCTTGAACATACCTTGTGTGCTACATAGTTTCTCTTTTAGCTGTTTCCTTTTTTTTTCTCACCAGTACTTTCTGCTCATGACCCTCATTTTAAAATATTTTGGCAAGGAGCAAATTAACACAGAAATATGACTTTAATTCAGTGCAAAACTTAAATTTAGTTTTGATACTATTATTTGGTTTTAAATATTCAGGTTGATGTTTATTTGGTTTTAGGAAGGCTGGTTTCCTGTAGCTGAGAATATGGGATTTCAGTGCCTAAAGACTGAAAGCAAAGATCCTCGGCTGGATGGGATAGACTCACTTTCTGGAACTGAAATTCCTTTGCATTGTATCTGTAAATGGGCCACTCATGCCATCCATTTGGTGGTCTTTCATGGGAGAAGTGGCAGCTACCTCTGGCATGGCCATCTACGACTCAAGGGACACATTGACAGGAAATTTGTTCCTTTTCAAAAGTTACAGTTTGGTCATTATCCTGGAGCTTTTGACAGGTAAGTTTAGAACCAAAGGAAGAAATATGAAATGAGTCATGAATTCTTATACTTCTTTTACATTTTCTAATGAGATCTAGTATAATTTACATGAATGTTCACAGTAACATTGTTCTAGTCTTACCAGTTAAAGGTAGCCCAAATACCTTCAACGATAAAAGGATAAACAAATATGGCAGCGGAGGAGGTTGGTTTAGGATACACACAGAACTGCAGGGAAGCAGAAAAAATTCATTTTCTCTGGTAGAGACTTGAATTTTATAATTTGTTATTTTGTGCCATTATGGATTAAGTACTTATATTTTTTAAAACTGCAAAAATATATCCTTATCTATTGCAATAATAAAAATTCTTCTGAGAAAGTTATATGAAGGGACTTGCATAAAATTTATCAATTGCAGGGTGAAAAAAAATTCTTGAAATTAGCAAATATATGTTGTACATTTTTTCCCCTTTTGAAGTCCCTAATAATGATGTTATAGTGTGCTTGAAATACCAGAATATGATGTGATGGTAACACTAAACATTTGTCTTTTGCCTAAAAGTTTACCATCCTTGTGGAAATTTTCATATTGAAACCTTTCTTGACAATTTCTAGAGACCATGTTTATCTCTTACTCTTAAGAACTGTAAGAGTATATTTATTCACATATTTGAAAAACAACTGGAAAAGGTATTTGAAACTGAAGCCATTTCCACTTTTGGTATTTATGAAGTCACTCCAGATTTTTAGGGATAAAATGACCAAAGAAAGAATAGGGGTGAAGGAAATTAGTTGTTACTTGTGAAGTCAACCTTTTTCTAATCCAAGCCAGATTTTTAGGAATAAAATGAACAAAGGAGGAATAGGCGTAGAGGAAAATAGTTGTTAATATTGGCCCCTCATTATTTTTGTCAAAACCTTAATTATTCTCTAATAGTTTATGAACATTTTAAAAATTCTATATTTCAAATAACGTCTTTGTAAGACTTTTTCTTTAGTTTTGTTTTTTTGTTGTTGTTTTTTTTGGTACCGGGGATTGAACTCGGTCGGGTCCTTGTGCTTTCAAGATAGGCCACTGAACCGCTAAACTAAATCCCCAGCTCTTTTTTTTTGTTTAGTTTTTAAAGCCTTGTTTATTTCAAAATTTTAGCAGTTAAATTAAAAATTGTCAGTCAACAAATATCTGTGAAACACATGCCTATAGATTAAAACTGTCTCTGTGTTGTATAGTTTATAGTTGTTGTTGTTGTTTTTCTGGTACCAGGGATCAAACTCAGGACCTTGCACTTGCCAGGCAGACACTGTTCCCCTGAGCTACATCCCCAGCCATTGTATAGTTTATATAAAGAAGAATGGAAAAGTCTTGAAATAATAGTTACAGAATGTGGGGTCTAGATGGGTATAAGACTGATTCCCACATACCATTTCTCATGTAATGAGACCCTGAGACTATTGTAATTTACCTAAGTGTCTTATGTGCTAAAAGCATTTACTGCTCCAAAAGAAATTGATAATTTAAAATTGTAACTTCTAAAGATAACAAAGAACATATGAAAAAAATGTAAAAGTACTTAAAAATACATTAGCCACAATACTTAAAACTCAGTTGATGTTTGGTACCAGATTAAAGTTCCTAATTGCTGCCCAAGATAATTTAAGAAAAAATATTTGAAGTTTATCAGTAGTGTTTAACATTTAGTTTTTGTTTAATATTCCTAATGTTTAATATTTTGAAGAGGGTGCCAGTATTCTGGATTAAATCCTTATAATTAATTTTAACTCTGTTTTCAGGCCAGAGTTACAGCAAGTTACTATAGATGGACTAGAAATTCTCATTCCAAAAGATCCAGTGCACTTTCTAGAAGAAGTACCACACTCTAGATTTATTGAGTGTAGGTATAAAGAAGCTCGAACATTCTTTCAGGTTAGAGACAAATAATGTACTTTTTAAATTAAGAAAATATGTTTATTTTTTAAAATTTGGGCAGAGAACTAAAGGGACTTATGGAAAACAGGTAAGACATATTTTTCAGTTCATCCATTTTTTCTTGATTTGTTTTCTTCTTTTAACTTTTGTTAAAAATTAATGTTGAAACCACTTCTTTCCTAAAAGGACGAGTTGATATTTATTGTTTTACTTGAGTAGATTTTTATAGGTTTAGCATTGGCCTCTGCCTTTGCTTGCAACAACTCAATGAACTTTATAAAGATGATGAATTCTCTTTTGGAAGCAATCCAAGCCACTGAAAAAGATGGATCTTGCAGATTTAGAACAGTCTTGATGAAAATGTAGAATTTTTCTCAGAAGTCTGACACTGAATATGAAATTTTTTGTTTAGGACTTTTTTTTTAAAGAAAAATGCTACACAAAGACAAGTACTTTTTGAACTTCACTTTTTTCTGCTGCGCTGGTGTTTAACTCAATAAATATTTATTGAAAGCTCATCTCCAAGCTTCTGGTGATATAAGGATGATTTTGAAGGAATGAAAGTTCAACTTTTTAAGAGTTAACATGAAACCACAGATATAATGAAAACATATAAATTGATAATGGGGTTTTGGTACTCTAATCTTTGTACCTGCCTTTTATTACCCAGAAAGCTGTATACACAAGAACAAGAATGGAATGAAAAATATAAAATACCACTCTTTTATATTGCCACCAAAAGGCCAAGACCTACAAATGCTGGCTTTCTCTGGTATGATATGCTGGCATCCAAGACCTAGGCCTGACAGTCCAAACGAAACTTCTTAGACCTCTTCCTTTAAATTTATAGTTGTCAGGCTGTAAAATTTACTAAGCCTAATGGAGGAAAATCTAGGAAACTGCAAGTATTGATGAGCTTCCTCTAGTAGGTGAATTTTACCTGGTATAGTCCCACCTCTTAGTAGTAGTAGGTAGAAGAGGATGAAGTTTGATGCTTAAACTTAACTATTTGCTCTTCCTGTCATATGGGAGCTTGCTCTGGTTGCCACCTCTATCAGTAATTATCACGGTATGTTGTGAATGTCTGTCTTGTCCCCTACTAAGTTATTTGGATTTGACAAAAAACCTTTTATTCACCTCTGTAATCCAAGTATCTGTCATAGTACCTGGCACACAGAAAAGATACTATAAATATGAGAAAATGAATGGAAAATAAGGTGCTCATCTGAATCAAGTGACTTTTAAGGACCCTTACCACAATTGAAGCTACCTACCTAACAAATATTTACCCTACACATTTGCCCTTCTTAGTTTGTGAGAAGGCAATATAAAATATAAAATGTTTCAAAATACTGAGAAATCATTTGGATAGTGTCATACTTTGGATTTTTGAAATGGTAAGGGCAGTGCTTAAAATTACATCAGATAACAAGACTTCAGTGCTGTCTGGAAGTTTATATTCATGATCAGGTGAAACTATTCTCTCATGGTTTTCTGTATCTTTCCCTTGCAGCAAGGCAGACTTATGATTCCTAATTTGTTTTTCTCTCCTGCTGTTGTATTGGTATTACTGATACGGAGTACCTAGTGGTATTGATAATGTTTTAAAATCTTTATTCTTTTAAATATTTCATTCTTCATCATTTCTTATATTAGAAACTTAATTAAAAATAGGAGAGTCCATTTTTCAAATTAAACTGAACATACATATATTTGAACGCTTGAGGGCGCCAGTGTTAAATACAATGAATGTTCAATGCTCTAGTAAACTTTATAAAGTAGCCTAATTTCTTTTTTTGAATGATTTTTTAAACAATTTCAGAATTAGCCAAAAGTTGGAAGTTCAACACAAATAACATTTTTTTCTGAACCTTTTGGGAGTAAACTATAGATCAGCCTCAAATAATTAAAAATAAGAATTCTCCTACATGTCTTAATGCAAAAATTAAGAAATTAATATATTTATTATTGTCAATTAATCCTCATTCAAATTTTTCTGAATATTCCATTAATGACTTTATAATAAAAGGATTCGTTTTTAGGTTCACATTGTACCAATTTTCATAGTTTTGGGTTTTTTTGTTTGGGTTTTTTGTTTGTTCTTTAATTTGGGACAGTTTCTTAGTCCTTTATTGACTTTTATAACCATAATACTTTTTGAAGATTCTGGGCCAGATATTTTGTTTTTCTAGAGGCAGGGTAATCCCAAGATTTACAAGTTATGATTAAAATATATGGTGAATATTTTAATTTTTTAAGCATTACAGTGAAAGATGCATTGCCCTTTGCCATTAATTACCCTCAAAATACTCCCCCCTAGCTTCAAATTGGCTTATTCCCTCATTCTTGCCACTTTCTGAAGTAGTTCAGGAAATCCTCTTTTGTATCTTCATGAGGCATAACCACACATACAGTGAATGCTGTTGCTGAGTGCCATCCAGTGGAAAGGCAGAATTGTAAAAATATTATGTTATAGCTTCATTCACTTTATTCACTGGACCTGGCACCATGTGACTTCTGGTTCTTTCTCAAAGACAAACTGACCATGAAAGCCACTTTTAATAAATTCAAGACATTGAAGTAGGCATGATAGTGCAACTAAAGACATTCATGAAAGTGTCTGCTCCAGATAGTAGGGAAGATGGTGGGATAAGTGTATTCAAAGTGACTGGAAAATTTTTGAGGAAAACTAGTGGCAATGTGTCTTTTACTGTAATTTAAAAAATTCAGATATTCACTATTTTGTCATGCCTCATAGACAAGACATTTTTGGTGGGGATACCAAGGATTGAACTTGGGTCCTTGTGCTTATGAGACAGGTGGTAGAACCACTAAGCTAAATCCCTGGCCCCTAGTTTGTTTTTTGTTTTTTGTTTTTTGTTTTTATACCAGAGATGAAACTCGGGCCTTTGCGCTTGCAAGGCAGGTAGCGGAACCACTGAGCCAAATCCCAAGCCCAAGACATTTTTAAAAGAAAAAAATATGTACAATGTAATTTCTTAGTTCCGTTACACATACATAAGATGTACAGTTGTATACATGTATGCACATTAACAAATATAAAGGTTAGTTTTAAGATGTGGAGTTTCTCAAAATATGTTAGAAAAGAATATCAGGATATAGGAATATGTGCATACAGGGGGCAGCCCCAATAGGACATAAAGTGTTTGTAGAAGACAAAGTTTCTGTATCTGCTATTTAATTTGGTCTTTTCAGTTAATCTGTGCAATAAGGTGAGTATTCTCCTTTAATAGGTAAGAAAATGAATGCTTCAAGATGCCACTTACACAGCTATTGTTGGCTGAGCATGGACTAAACCTAGACCTCCTAACTCCTAACTCCAGGCTTTCTCTACTACAACAAGCATAAGAACATGGATCTCTTGTTCCAGTTTGTATCCTAAAAAAAATTATAGCTCTAAGGAAAGGGATGTTTTCATGTTGAGGCATCCTTTTGTGTCTTATATATTCCATAGATTGCACCTTATATGTTGGAAACACTTCTTTCATAGAGGTACTTTTCCCTCCAGATCCCTATAGTCCTCCTAGTCCTTATAATTCCTAGGATGTATATCTAGGAACTGTACCTATTCCTGCTATAGTATAAAAGAATCACAGGATGTTTTAAGGTACTGTAAGCATAGGAGGGCCTTACTCAATCATTTATTCATTTCTCACTCTTCATTCTGAATTGGTCACAGGTTACTAATATATGCCAGGCAGCACCCTAAATCTTAGATACAGAGATGGAGAGATACAGTATCTGCTCTTATGAGGCCATCTGTATAGTACAGTAGAGAGACTAGAAATAAAATCAATAATTGTGATTTACTGAAGTATGTATTAGATAAACTGTTACAAGCTCATTGAGGAACAGATTGTTTTGCTTATCTCTGTATGTTTAGTGCCATACATAATTATTTAAATAAATAAATGTTGAAACAAAGGGGAAAACTAGGAGAATAAAGACATATATCTTCTTGGGGAAATCAGGGAGTGTTTCTCAGAGGCTGGAACTGAGCCCTAAAAAAATGTGTTAGTGAAGGGCATACCAGACAGAGAAAGCAACATATATAAAGGCACAGAGAAGAGGTGTGATAAATGGAGGGGTGTAATATTAAATATATGTAGGGTGGAGATAAGGCTGAGCCAGTTGTCAGGGATCAGTTGTCCCTGTCTGGTAGGCCAAGTAGTTTCAATTTTTGTTCCATACATAGTAAAGCATCATTGCAGAACTTGAGTGTTTTTCTCAGTCCCAAAACAGTAAAACTGAAGAAAACCAGAAGAGCAAAATGGTTACATAGATGGCAATGTTTGTTATAAAACTTTATTCTTTGCGAGACCTTTTTCGCTTTAAATTTTCACAGCAGTCCTGAAAATTATAATTATTATCCTTAAGCTATAGATGAGGAAATTAGACATATAAGACAAGTTTGTTTAATGTTTTATTCTCTCATTCGTAGAACAAATATTCAGGCACTGTTCAAGGCGCTGAAGATGCGTGATAAATGAAGCTTATATTCTTTAGTGGTGATACACCCAGGGTCACACCTGGGAAGAAATGGTCCTAGATTTGAGTACAGATTATCTAATTTAAAATCCACTGTACTCTTTCTACTTTATTACACAGTCTGTAAAGACTAGTAGCATCAGTAAAAGATGAAAACATTAAATTAAATTAAATTTATTTTGTTTTAATTGTGCTTGTAGCTCGTAATTAGCTTTCTTTTCTCCTAACTGCCCAATCTGCTAAATTACAATGTGAAAGAGAAAGCTAGCTGTTTAAGGTCTGAGTCTCATCCTTTGGGAATCTTAGTTATATTTTTTCCTTTTTCACTGATCTTTCCTAGAATCTACATGTGTATTCTTATTTTAATGAATGATAAAGAAAACTATATGCTTCGGTGGCCTGCCTTGCAAGCTCAAGGACCCGAGTTCAATCCCCGGTACCAAAAACAAAAAAACAAACAAAGAAAACTATATGCTTGATTTTTATAACAGAAAAAAGATGTTATATGGAATTAATTTTAAAACTTAATTCAGATGTCACAAAAGTTTTCCAGCAATTTGGAAATGAACAATAACAGCTGATGGTCTATTAAATCTGTAGCAGTACCTTGATGATAACACTGTAGAAGCGATGACCTTTCAGAAGAGTGCAAAGGAATTACTGCAGCTAGCAGCCAAAACCTTAAACAAATTGGGAATACGATTCTGGCTGAGCAGTGGAACTTGTCTAGGTAAGATTCTTGTTTTACATTTGTCTTTGTGTCATTCACCCTTTTTGGCTTTAGAGATGACTGCTTGAGGTGACAAAACACTAGTGATATTTGAAGTGTAATATTCAGAGACAGCATAAACATTAGTACCTCGAGCAAGAATCTGTTGCTACTTTAAAGAAATATATTTCAGAAACATGAAATAGACTCTTAGGAAGGTCATATGTGTTTATAAAAAAATAATAAGTAATGTGTATAAAGTTGTATCCGAGCAGATAGACTGTAATTGAGTCTCAGGAAAACCTTAACTTAGTGTTTTATTATATCTTTCCCAAAAATTGTTGCTGCCTTTAAAAAAAAAAACTATTCTGTTTTTTTACTTTTGCATCATACAGCCAGCTTGCATTACACCAAAAGTTTCTAAGGAGACGAAGACTGAAAAGAGTATAAGTTGTCTTCTGCAAACCTTTTCCAGGACATTGATAGCATCACTAATTAGACACTGTTCATCTCAAGTGGGGAAGTACAGACTTTACTATGGCCTTAGGCAGGTTGCCGTTACAATCTGAGAGCAATTTCTGGATCTTTAACTGTTATTCCTTAGGTAAATCTTTGAAATTTAAAATTATTTAGAATCTTAAATTGTGTTATTTTTTCCATTTCATTGTAACTGTAGTTAATTTTGACCATACTTGCACAAAAGTTAATTCATTTCTTGATTTTATAGTTACTATATAATTTATTGTCCAGTTCAGGAGAGTTTATTTTTCTTGAGGCAAGATCTCACTGTGTAGCCCAGGCTGGCCTTGAATTCACAGCAATCCTCCTGCTTCAGCCTTCTGAGTGCTCCTGAGAATGAAACATGTCTTTTTTTTTTTTTTTTTTTTTTTTTAATGGAGCTACACCCTTTGCTTTCCTGGACCTCTAGGTCACCAAGTCACCCTGCAGATCTTGGGAACTATCAGTTTCTGTGATCACAGGAGCCATTTCTTAACAATCAAACAGTCTCTGCATGTATATCCTCCTGTCTCCTAAATTCTAGTAGTTATGTTTCTCTGGAAAAACCGTGATAAAGATGTAGAATGACTAAGAGCAGGAGGACTGATGGAAGGTTTGTGGACACATCTGTGATGTTGGAAATAAGTTCATGGTATCACTGTTGCTTCTAGCCAGTGGCCACCACTATCCCTATCTGCTTCCCCCAGTATTATAGGGAAGTATTCTACATGTTTTTCAAGCTGTGATTCCAGGCCAATCAGCATAGTACACATGGCATGGTTGTGTGTGTGTGTGTGTGTGTGTGTGTATGTATGTGTGTGTGTGTGTATATATATATATATATATATTTTTTTTTTCTGTACCAGGGATTGAACTCAGGACTTTGCGCTTGTGAGGCAAGACAGTACCCCTGAGCTAAATCCCCAGCCCCAAAACAAATGTCTTAACTAATTATGTTGGTACAATAAGTGTGAACTAGAATATATGGTTATCTTACTTAGGCTCTGTAGAAGATTTCATGGTTCTTCCTGTCAAGGAGCCTAACATTGGAATAAACCCCCCAAAAGGAGCATTTCTCTTACTTCTGTGATATTTGCTCTAAAGTTTAACTTTTTAGAAGCAAGATTGTGTTGTCATCTGTGTTATCAAAAATGTCTCAATAATTTGTTATTATTCATTTTTAGATTTTAGCACCATGGTTTTCTTGATTTAAAGGCACTTTTGAAATGAGGGAGTTATAGTAGATGACAAAGGAGTCTTCCATTCTTTTGTTGTTGTTTTTATTTTGTTTTTTATACTGGGGATCAAACTCGGGACCTTGCGCTTGTGACTCAGGTGGCAGAAACCACTGGGCTAAATCCCAACCCTTCCATCTTAATATTTTAAAATTATTTGATAGAATTCTTTTAGAATTCCAGATAATACTGCCCAGTAGCAGGACCTATTATGATAATTGTGACTACTTTACAGGTCTACAGTTGTATTTACTTTTAAATAATTTGAGAAGTGTTGGTAGAATAAAAGGGAAGATTTGAGAGTCCTTAGAAATATTAGGGTATTTTGTTTTAGAAGAATGCTATAGCAGCTAGTTGAGAAGTGTGTGTGTATGTATATGTATATATAGTAAACTTTTAGCAATGTTTTGAATGTATTGAAAAATTGAAGCTAATACTGCTTCTCTTTTATGTGACCCATCAGATATGAGCTGTTAAATTCTACAAATTATTGACTCAGAAAAGTTACACTGAATAAGTAAGAGAACAAAATATTTTAGCATATCTTCACTACTAAATGTTAAACAGTGGCTAAATGTTGGTAAGCTGTATCACTAAATGTTAATGATTAACCATTCTAAACAGCAGCTGAGCTTTTTAAATAGTTGGGCCAATTAACATATTATTAAAACCATGGTTTATTCAGAAATTAAAATATATCATGAAAGTTTTAGAGGAAGTTTGAGTGCTCAGACCAGTGAAGAAATATCAATAGATAAATAGGTAGGTAGTAGATACATAGATATATAGATGAGAGAAAGAGGTTCTTTAAGAGGTGACTCCTATAACTCATCTTTTAGTTTGGGATTTAATTTTTAAAAAATTATTTTGGTGGGGCTGGGGATTTAGCTCAGTGGTTTGGTGGCCTGCCTTGCAAACACAAAGACCTGAGTTCTAATCCCCCGTACCAAAAAAAAAATTATTTTGGCAAAACACTGTCAATCTAATCCTGTGAAATAAAATCCACTGTTTTAAAGAGTATCCATTAAGATGACTAATTTTTTCAGATTTTATTTTTTTAAAAAAACCTTATGCCCTTTCTTTTTTAGGATGGTATCGGCAGTGCAGTATCATTCCTTATAGCAAAGATGTCGACCTAGGGATTTTTATACAAGATTACAAATCTGATATTATTTTAGCATTTCAGGAGGCAGGACTTCCACTCAAACATAAGTTTGGGAAGGTCAGTAACAAAAATTTGCTTTATTTTGTAAATAATATGTCTCAAGTTATAAAATTTATATTAAGAACTCAGTTAAGAACACTTACAGAATTTTATGACTCAGTGTTAACCAAGGATGGGTTCAGCAGAAGCTTGTTACTACTTGTGATTTCTGTGCTATTTATGAAAAAGCTAGAAAGTCAGGCTTTTAATTGACAATAGGAAAGAAGGATACTTGACTCTTATAAATGAATTTATTCCCACTGTATTTGGCAATAATATAAAATTAATGTAAAAAGCAGTGTCCCATTAACCCTGTGTGAAGTTATATTTTTTCTCTGAATCATATAATTTTATTTTCATTTAGGAATGGATGTCATTATAATTATAAACGCAAATGTTCTATTGACTGCTAAGGGAAGTACTTGAATTTCTTGTTTATTGCACATGTCCTGAGTTATACAAGTTTCCTTAGAGGTCAACCAGAGATAGGTCATCGTGGGCTAGATGCAGACTTGCTCTAGAAGTTTGATTCTTTGTCTTAAGTTCATGATCCCTTGTAATCATGTTGTGCTTAATTTGCTTGTTTCCTGGGAAGTATTATCCTGAAAATAAAGTAGAAATATGTTTAGTTCCTATAAAATTATTTCTCCTATCATAAATACTGATTCTAGTGTGCTAAAACAGTTGAATAAAATTTTATCTTGAAGTCAAAAAAGTAATTAGAGTATAGTCATTCAGCAAATATTTACCAAATGTTTGCTGTATATCTGGCTTTGCTCTGCCTGTCTGGACCTGTAATACAAAGATGAATAAATTCCTACAACTCTTACCCTGGAGGAACTTACTGCCTGATTGAGAGGGGGAAAAAAAAATTATTGTATGATGGTACTGGAACGGACAGATGCTGCACCAGGTCCAATAGAAGTATAATTATTTGTAGGATGTTTCTTAAGGAAAATGCTCTCAGTTTCTTTTCGTCTTAGTTTTTTTTTTAATTTCTTCTTTTTCATGTATATGATATAATGATTGGTGTTATGTATGTGGCCAAATATAAGACCACTTAATTATTTATAAACCATTGATAGACGTATTTCTTGGTTTATTAAAGGAAGTAATTTTTCTTTGGTTTCTTTCCTTCTTTAGTCAGAAAGGGACTCTAGATTGTGATGTTTCTATTTTCTCTGGAGAGTGGTACTTTTAACTACCATAAGATAATTACTCTGAGGTTCATTAGTTAGAAAGAATTACTTTTGTGCTTTTAAGAGAAAATAAATGATTCTGTGACACACCCCAGTTTCAGTGCTATTCTAGAAGCAAATGTGCATGTTAGAATTAATATTCTATGTAAAATATTAGACTTTTTTTTCTTTTTTTTGTTAAAAAAATGGTTTTTATCTTCTCCCTAGGTAGAAGACAGCTTGGAACTATCCTTCCAGGGAAAAGATGATGTAAAACTTGACATTTTTTTCTTCTATGAAGATACTGACTATATGTGGAATGGAGGCACTCAGGCCAAAACAGGAAGAAAATTTAAGTATGAATCAGATAAGTACTTATTAATTTCTAAAGGTAGAAATAAAGATATAACTAAAAGGAAATGCAAACAAAAAACCCTACATCTGTCAAGTCTCCATTATGAGCTAATCCTTTCCCAGCTTATCTGAAGAGTGTAGTTTTGCTTGTGAAGAGAAATCTGCCTATGTGTACGGTCCATAAGAAGGCTGTGTCCCTAGGTTTGTCACTTGAAGGAATTATCATGATTAATTTGGGTCAACAGAGAGAGATCATCAAAGCAAGAAACATAAAAATCAAGTCTAGAACCTAAACCAAATATAAACATTGTTAGAGCTGTAGGAGCTTGATAATTACATGGGAATAGGTAAGGGTTAGAAAGAAGGAAATAGTTCAGGTAAAGTAAAGTTTAAAGAAATTAAAATGGAAAAGAGCTGAGTCCATAAGTGCTCAGCAAGCTTTAGAATGTAATTTTAGCTGGGCATGGCGGCACACAACTATAATCCTGGCACTCAAGAAGCTGAGGCAGGAAGATTGCCAGTGAGTTTAAAGCCAGCCTGGGTTACATGGTGAGTTTGAAGTCAGTCTGGTTTACATGGGAAGACAAAACAAAACAAAACAGAACAAAGATAACTTTCATATAGACTGAGACCTAATCCTTAAAAGAACACACATTGGATTTACCAGTTACCATGTTTTATCAAATGTAAGATAATATCCATTGTAAGTTACAACATTTATGCTACTAAGAAAGGAACAACACTGCCAATTATAAGACAAATGAGAATGGGTACACAAGGAGCGTGGGCTTCGAAGTCAGGCAGACCTGGGAAACTTCATCTGTACCCTAATTTGTGGCCTTTAGCTTTTCTGAACATTAAGTGCCTTGTCTGTTAACATTTAGGTAATAACTATTGTTGTTAGGCACTATTCTGAATATTTTACATATATTATCCCATTAAATCCTCTCAACATTAGGATGTAGGTATTCTATGAGGAGCTGGAATTTAAGTACTATTTGTTCAAGAATACACAAATAAATAGAGAGACAGCAATCGGTTAGAGTTTATACTTTTAACCACTATCCCACATGGCCTCTCTAATGTACTGGACAGTAAGAAACACTTAACACAGTGCTTAGCACTTAGTAATTTAGCAGTATTTAAGGGGTTATCATTGATATCGTTGCTTAATATTATTAATATTATAATTACAAATGTGACTGCTATCATTACTGTCATTAGTGTGGTAATATAACCAGTAGCATAAATTTACCTCACTAACGAGCTGAGACGAGGCTTCTGTTAATAAATAAATTTGAGCCTCTGAGCATAAAGAAGAATATTCTGTAAGCACAGAGAAGGAATTCCAGATTCGTTCTGGTTTCTCCTGAGTACACTGATCTATCGGATTGGGATCCTCAAGTCAAGAAATTTTCATGTAAGGTTGAACTTGTTCTGGAGGTTTAAGAGTAATCCAAACTTTTTTCTCAAAGTCATAAAGTATTGTGTCCCAATTTGACACTGATCCCAGAGTATATTCTTTGAAACTTTTATTTACTATAAAAAATTTTGCTTTATGAAAAAAAACTCTTGTGCTACATTGACTAATTGTAAGACATTTACAAATTATTAAATTGAAAAGAAAAAAATTATTAATGAATATATGATTGACGCAGTTATTGTGGCTAGATAAATGGACGGGTAAATATAGGTGGCTAGGTAAATGTGATGTTCAGCTACAGTTTGTTTCTTCAAAATATAATAGAGATGTTAAATGCAGTCTGTAATTAGAAGGCTTTTTTAAAACCTGTAACAAGAAGTAAGGACACAGAGCAAGTGTGCTTACTTTAGAATCTCAGCTCTACATTTTGTGAGCTGTACTACCTTGATCAGATTTCTCAAACTTTCTGCCTAAGTTTTCTCAACCGTAATATTGGAAAGAATAATAGAAATTTCCACATACAGTGGCTATAAGGATTAGTTAATGCTGTGGGCTTTGAAGGGTGTGAAGATGTCCTGAGTGCTAAGCAACTATTAATTGCTGCTAATAATTTGTTACAGAAGCATAGTAAAGAAAACTATTCTGCTTAGTCTTATGAAAAATATACAGACCTTTGCCGAGGGAACTCATACAAGAGCATCACTCTTTTTCCAAGAAATATAATTTCTAGAGCTAGTATCAGTCTTTTTGGAATAAATTTCTTTCTAAGGGTTGAATTTTTCTTCTCATGGACTGATCTGTAATCTACGATCCTCAAAGGAACTATTCATTTCCAGCTACTACATTTCTGGATAGAAAAAGCGTCTTTCATTCTGCTTCAGCTGCTCTTTATAGTAGCAGTGTTTGGGAAGTGTGAAGTGTTCTGACTATTTAACAAGAGAAATGAGCAGTGGTAGAACAGTCTGGACAGATGGTGTGAGTCCCAGATTTTCTATCATGTTGCTGTGACCTTAAAAGGCAGAGAAAAGAACAGGAGATGGCTGCATGGAGTAGTTTCTTTAGAAGATTCGCCCAGCCATATGCCATTTTCATTCTTTTCAGCACTATTTGCTTTACAGAAATGTAGTATTTTTAACACTACCATTCCAGGAGGAAAAAAAAAAAACTCAAAATCTTTAAAACTAGCTTGAGTCTTTTTATTTTTATAGTACTCTATTTTTTATTCATGTGTAATTGGTGCTGAGAAAAATAAATACATAAAATGTTTACCTTTTTTAAGAGGATGAAAGCAACTCATTAAAAAAGAGTAAAGATCCGGGCGTAGTGGCGCACCCTGTAATCCCAGCACTTGGGAAGCTGAGGCAGGAAGATCACTGTGAGTTTGAGACCAGCCTGGGCTACATAGTGAGTTCCAGGTCAGTCTCAACTACATAGTGAGACCCTGTCTCAAAAAAACAAAAAAAAAAGAGTAAAGAGTCTTGTTTGTAAGCTCTACTTTTTGCGCCTGTAGAATAATGTTCTTGGTCTTATGAATTAATAATTTTAATATCAATAGTAATAATAAAGATATAACTACCAAGGTATCTGCTAGATAATAAGCATTTTAATAGGTACTTTAAATAAACAAAACTTACTACTATTGCTGTGGGTTATGTATTCACATCGCCAGTTAGACATAAGGAAACTAAAACTCAGAAATGAAGTAACCAATGGAGCTATTAATGCAGGGAAGACTTAACTGTGACCTGTATGTTGTTATGGTTATTTTGCGTTGGTTTGGTTTACGTGAGAGTAGTACTGAGGATTGAATCCTTCAAAGTGAGCTACATCCTCGACCCTTTTTAAAATTTTCTTGCATTTTGAGACAGGGTCTTGCTCAGGCACTAAGTTGCCCAGGCTTGGGCTTGAACTTGTGATCCTCCTGCCTCAGCCTCCTGGAGGAAGGAATGTGCCAGCATGCCCAGATAAGGCTGCTAATGTCATTACTGTATTATTGCTACTACTGTTATTATTACTGGTGTGCTGAACTGGTGAAAAACATAGCACCTTCAACACAGTGCTAACTTGGGTTATTCTCTAACTAAGCTTTTTCTTCCAAGATATCATGACACTCATTTCTTTTGGTCTGTCACTTCTTTACTTACAGTCATTCTTTTACCTAAAATCCAAATTCCATTTTTAAATATTGTCTGCACTTTGTATATCTGCTTTTCTTCTCCAGAGTCCAGCTCACCAGTAATAAAAAAGTGTTGAATATAGCTATAACTATGCCCACAGGATGTGAAGTATTTTTCTGCAACTTCACGGTTCCTACAAGTTGCTGCTTAGGTTTCTTTGGGTTATTTCTCTCCTTGTCTGCAATAACTGATGTTGGGTACAGGCCAGAATTTTTAGAAATTATAATGGTTAATTTTAATTAAATATGTACTGTGTTCTAAGTAATTGTATATGTATCATCACAGTTAACCTTTGTAAGTTTGTCACCTTTGTTCTGTGAATGAGGAGATTAAGACTGTGCTAAAACTCAGCCATAGGTCTTTATCATGTCAGAGCCATGTTCTTATCCATATACTTAGTATCACTCTCAGTTTCATGTTGTTAATACTCTCCATAAGAATACTGTCGGGGTAATACAGCTATTGTTATATCCTCTAATAGGAAATCCTTTATCCCTTGGGTTAGAACTGTGTTCCTTATGCCTTCTTATATTTGCGATTACTGCTTATTAGATCTTCGGAGAATTTAGATTCTTCCCTTGTTGACCACATTTGCATCCAAGTGTAGCTCCTATGTAATTTATGACTTTATTTCTGTAAAATTTAGTTCTGACTGCTATATGCTAAGGATACTGATGTGAATATAACTTAGTTTCTGTCCTCAAGTATCTCATTATTCAGAACATAAAACAAACATGAAAGTACTCTATCAGCAGTATAGTGATTGGACTATGTACAAGCTATAAGTGAGGTACCAGAGCAACAGGAAGGAAGAATAGCTTCAAAACATGTTGGTTAGAGTACCAGGCATAGTAGCGCATGCCTGTAATCCCAGCATTTGGGAGGCTGAGGCAGGAGGATCTCAGGGAATTTGAGGCCTGCCTGGCTATCTAGTGAGATAGGCTAGGCTACATAGCCTTGGTTAGATAGATTCAGGAAGGATATGGAGAAAGACCTAATAATCATAATAACAGGCTTACAGTATTTATTTTTCTCCTTTGTTTTCACTTTTTAATTCAAATTTTGAGAGCATCTTTACATATAAAATAAAAACTTTATTAGAGATTATTTCCTTAAATAAGCACCCAGAAGTAGAATTAGAGTTAAAATGTATGAGCTATAATCTTCAGCCATAAAGAAGAATCAAATCCTGTCATTTGCAACAACATAGATGGAACTGGAAGCCATATTAAGTGAAATAAACTAGATACAAGGACTGCATGTTCTCTTCCATGGGGAAGTTGACCTAAATGTAGAAAACTACAGGTTGGAAGGGACTGTAGGGATACAGAGAGCTTGGATTTGATTCATGCACACTGTGTGCATGTGTTGAACAAACACACTGAACTCCATTAATATGTGC